CCTGCCTTATTGTCTGTGGGCACCACCATCTTTCAGGATGGGCAGTCAATTAGCATATTCACTCTTTATTGGCTGTGGGCGCCACCATCTTTGTGACAGCATGAGGGTCAATTAGCATATTCCCTCTTTAGTAGATAGATTTTCCACATTCAAGAGAAATAGCTTTCAACTCTTTGAGGGTTTTTTTGTTTTGTTTTATCTATACCTCTAAGATGCATATTCTGTCAGTGATTTATTTTCAGTTTTTAGATATGTGTTGATGTCCCCCTGTGAAGATGAATATTTAGTTCTTCTATCGATCTGTTCCCTCACATCTTTTCAGATTCTCACTTTGCTGTTGGCTTCTCTTTTCTCCTGACCAAGCTTAAATTCCACAAATGCAATATTCACTCCCTTGCATAAACCCCTCAACACTTTTCCCTTTCTTATTTTATTTTACTCATTTAGAAAATCTACAATGCTTTTTAAATCCACTTCCCCACCTGCTCATACCTGCATAGATAGAAAACATCACACCTATATACTGACTAGCTCTCTTGAAATTCATTATCACAAACCTCCTGTGGGTCCCTAGGCCCTCCCATGATTCACCCTCCCTCTCTTCTAAATATCAACTTCACACTTTCTCCTTAAACCATCATCATCTCCTCCCTGTCTTCTCCTGTAAAAAAATTTTTTTGTCATATTTTTAAATTCCAGTCTCTCAGTTTTCAGAATGCTTTTAACTAATACTTTATTCTTATTTCATAGATGCAATAATAATTTGTAACTCTGAAGATATTGGCTGTTTCCTTGAAGTTTTTGTTTTTCTCTGGTTTGTTTCCTCCAGCTGGCTTTTTTCTGTTTTTATGTTCTTCTTTTGTGCTAGAGGCTTTCCTCCAACATCTGATGGACCATTATACAGCTGATCGGGACTCTGTGTATGTTGAGTGGGGAGGGTTCTTATTGGCCCTGAGCTTCGCAGAAGCTAGGTGTTTCGTTGGAATGCTCTTACTGTCAGCAGTTTTAGGGCCTTCAACTTAGGATGTTAGATTCCTTGGAGAAAGATCTTCTAGCTGCCTGCCTTGAGGTATAAGCCTGGCTACCAGAGTTTGGGAGCTTGAAGGGAGAATAAGGCTAGGGATCTCATTATTCAGTATGTATGCAGACTTTTGCTTACATCCATTTGTTTTAGGATGAGCCACCATCAACGATCTCTTCCTACCTGACCCACAGACCCTCTTTATTCAATCTTTGTAGTTTTTCACCAAAGTGGTGGAAGGGTAGTTGCTTGGCTGGCTTGAGTAAGGGAGGGCATCTGTGGGTCTAATCACTTTTCACATGGATTTTCAGCCATCTCTTCTGTTCACATTTCCACCTTGGAGCTTAATTCCAGAGATGCCACTATCCCCTGATCCTTTAGCACTTTCCTAGGCTGCTTCTAGGCTTTTCTTTTTGCTTATTTTAGGGTTCAGCTTTTTCACTTCTTAGTCATTTACCAAGAGTCATCCTAGCAGGCTTTCAAATTTGCCTTGCTATTATATGTTCTGTTTTATTTGCCCTGGTGGACTCAGGCCTTTTTAAAATAGAAATACCTTTGTTGCCATTTTAGTGGGATTTAGGGATAAAGATAAATGCATGTTTCTAATCACCATCTTTTAACTGGGTAATATTTTCAATATAAATGTGTTTCTTGTTTTTTTCTACTAGGAAAGCCGGGTTAGCAAAGCAGTTGAAGTAATGATTCAGCACGTAGAAAACCTGAAGAGAATGTATGCCAAAGAACACGCTGAATTAGAAGAACTGAAACAGGTTCTTTTGCAAAATGAAAGGTCGTTTAACCCTCTGGAAGATGAAGGTAATACAAATTTAAGATAATAGTGCCAGTTATGATTTTCTAACATTCACCTCTTTCATTCTCTCTCTTACTACTTCTTGTTAGGTCTTAAATATAAGACCCTTAGGTTAAAGTTATAGTAAAAGAAGAACTCATTCCTGTCATCTGCATAGCCAAAACTAGGATGTCAGTTAGATAACAGGCTGGGAGACAAAGATTCTTTGATAATGACATTAAAAAAAATCATTAAACCCACCCAGAATGGTGTGGCTCAGTGGGTTGAAAACCATCCCATGCACCGAAAGGTTGCTGGTTTGATTCCTGGTCAGGACACATGCCTGGGTTGCGGGCTCAATCCCCAGTGAGGGGTGTGCATGAAGCAGCCAATCAATGATGTTTCTCTTTCATCAGTGTTTCTCCCTCTCTCACCTTCTCCTTTCCCCTTTCTAGAATCAATAAAAACATGGAAAATATCTTAATATAAGGTTTACTAGTATATAAATCTTATAATAGTTTCTGTTAAATAAGTAGTATGAACTTCTGAGAATTCTTAATGTTCTATTCCTTCTTCAAGAAAAGTAACCATACTTGGTATCTTCTATCTGTAATTTTGGGTTCATTTATTCCGAAGATATTCATTTAGTACCTACTATGTGCTAGGTCAGCATTCTGGACATATGTAGTAAGAGAGAGGGCTATTTTCTGTTGGTTAAGATGGTCATTTTTTATGAATCACCAAATAAACAATAACCAAATATTTATAACATCAGCAGTCTTCAGGATCTTAAATATTTTCTGACGATTGTTTTTCTTTGTAAAGAATTAAGACCACTGCATTGACAGAAATTACAAAGGTAGTTTCTAAAATGTGCAAATGTTTTTCCTTCAGATGACTGTCAAGTTAAAAAACGCTCAGCTTCTCTAAACTCCAAGGTAATTAATAATTCACCTACTGATTCACTTTAAAGATGTCTATCAAATACTATAGGGGGTTGGTTTTTAAATATTTGAAGCAACATAGCGTTGAATGTAGATCGTAAAACAATTATTTTAATTCGCATGTATGCACATATGTGTGTGTATATTTGCATAAGTGTATGCTTTTATGCTTCTTGTTATGCTGGTTTATCAATTAAGTTTGGTGGTGAGAAGGAAGCTGTAAACAATAGTGTCTCTCATGTAAAATGGGAATTGGAAATGGAAGTCCAACAAAAGCAAAGTAGCTTCACAAAATCCACAGGGCCAGTCTCCTCCTCGCTCGCTGCTTCATCCACTCAGCCCTTTGGTTCCAACTATGGTGTGAGAGGCCCCTGCAGTCCCGGCACCAAGTCCTGGTCATTACACCCAGGCACAGTCCAAGAAAAAGGAAAGACAAGTATTCCCTCGCCCTTTAAAAATAACTTTCTAGAAGTCCTGGAAAACATTTCCCTTTTCACTTTAGTTGCAAATAAGACTGGAAATACAGTTTTTTATTCTGGAGGCTGTATGCCTAACTAAAAATTAGGGAGTTTGAAAATCAGGATTGCTCAGGATTTAGTGATAGGAGTTTTGAGCAAGTGACTCTAAAATCATTCCATCCAAATCTCTTTTCCACTCTTGAGGAAAAAGAGAAGCACAGAAGTTCAGTGATTAGTTGTGATATATGTAGTGGTAGAACCATGATTTGGACCCAGGTTTCATGGACCTCAGGTTGATATTCTTGATGCTCAACTAACCTATGAAAATAATTTAGGGATAATGGTTTAAGAAAAGGATTCACATAAAACTTTATTTCCTACATTTAAAATATTTTTATTTCCTGAAGCTGTACTTACTCAAACTTTAAGAACCACATAATACTATATAACATTTTTTTTTCTGTGCTAATCTCAAGGTCGATCTAAAAACACACTCATTCATAAAGTAATATGCCCATCCTTATTTGGACCCAGGTTTCATGGACCTCAGGTTGATATTCTTGATGCTCAACTAACCTATGAAAATAATTTAGGGATAATGGTTTAAGAAAAGGATTCACATAAAACTTTATTTCCTACATTTAAAATATTTTTATTTCCTGAAGCTGTACTTACTCAAACTTTAAGAACCACATAATACTATATAACATTTTTTTTCTGTGCTAATCTCAAGGTCGATCTAAAAACACACTCATTCATTAAAGTAATATGCCCATCCTTAAATGCATTAAATGGAAAAAATGAAACAATTTTTTAAAAGCTAAAATATAGCTCCTCTTAGTAGGGAAAAATCTTTCTAAAAGAAATGGTAACAAAAGAGAGGAAGAGATGAAGAGCATTGGCTGTATTAACAATGAAAACATTTTCTGCCCGAAATATCATGAACAAAATTAATACGGGCAGAGATCATAAACAGGTGGTTCTTAGATGGTTATTTAACATAGAAAAAAAGTGTTGAATATTTTGCAAGTCAAATTAATGCAAACCTAAACAAGAAAGCTTATACTCGATTTGATTGGCAAAAATCAGACTCACCCAATGTTGGGGAAGGTGAATGTAAATAAGTAGAATATTTCTGGAAGGCAATTTGCTCATAACAAAATACTTTTTAAAATGCTTACTGTTTAGCTCAGTAGTCAAGTGCGTGGATGTGTATGTACAAAGATATTCATCAGTGTTACATATAAGAATAAAACAGTAAGAACTCTCTAAATGTTTGTTTTCCCCCCCCCTTTGAATAGCCATCTTCTCTTCGAAGAGTAACGATTGCCTCTCTACCCAGAAATATTGGCAATGCAGCAACGGTAAGCAAGTTTCTAAATGTTCTCAAAAAGCAAATTCATTTTCATAGAAGAAAAATATACAAAAATACTTCATTAAATTCCTATTTTATCATTTCTTTAACACCTGAACTTTAAAGGTGGCTGGGATGGAAAACAATGACCGATTCAGTAGGAGGTCAAGCAGTTGGTAAGTGTAATTATATGGTTGCTCTTTGGGAACTTTCCTAATTTTAACTGTGCTAAAGTAAATGTTTGAAAGGAGTGATATAAGTAGAACAATTATAAAAATTGTCATATAATGAAATGTTTTATTTTTTTAAATAAGCAATATGCGAGTGCCAAGGAAAATAATTAGGACGTGTAATTGTTGTATTGAGTTAGGCAGTGGGAAGTAAGTTAATAATGGGCATGGATGTATTTGATTTGACACGTGGATATGATCATCTTTGTATAGGCGTATTTTGGGGTCAAAGCAGAGTGAACACCGGCCCTCATTACAGCGGTTCATCAGCACCTACTCCTGGGCAGATGGTGAAGAAGAGAAATGTGAGCTCAAGTAGGTGAAGCGTGTGTTTGTTAACCTGATGTGAGCTGGGCATAAACCGTGGGGATCACTTTTACTCTGTGAGGAGATCAGTGCTGCATCATCAAAAAGCTCACTCATTGTTTTACGCTTATAAACTGCAAAGCACTATATAAAAGCTACTTGTGAATACATTCACTCTTATAGGGCTCAGAACTGCAAGGTTTTCAGTCTTAAGTTAGAAAAGGCCCTGTAATTTGCCAGATTTGTAAAGATAATTTTTTCCCTGTACAGGCAGGTATCTGGCCAGCAGGGATGGGGAGGGGGGGCGCAGTGAATAAAGAGCCACAGAAGTGAAATGTGTATCTTTTTTTTAAAAAAACAAACATGTATTATATATACACTATAGGCATATAAGTAATATATGTGCATTATATATCCTTTAAATAAATGAAGAGTAGGGGAAACATAAAACTCTACATGACTACTCTATATTTAGCAGGTTACATAAAATATACTTCTATAGCACAAGGGAGAGAGGGCAGGAAGGAGAAGCATGAACAAATGCCTCTACGTCAGTGGTTCTCAACCTTCTGACCCTTTAAATACAGTTCATGTTGTGACCCAACCATAAAGTTATTTTCGTTGCTACTTCATAACTGTAATGTTGCTACTGTTATGAATCATAATGTAAATATCTGATATACAGGATGGTCTTAGGCGACCCCCGTGAAAGGGTCATTTGACCGCCAAAGGGGTCGGGACCTACAGGTTGAGAACCGCTGCCCTAAGTCTTTGGGTGACCTTGGACAAATTGCTTTAACCTTCCTTGGTCTCAGTTTCCTCATCTGCAGAGATGTTAATGAAATGATTTTATGTTCATGTTATACATGTTCCTGGAGAGCCTAGTGTGTGACAGATATTACATCAGTCCTAAGGAATATAGAGATGAGTAAGACATAGGACCTACCTTTAAAGTTCTCTGTGTTTTAAAATACTCCCGGAGCCTGCTGCGTGTACTGAAAACTCTAAGGGTTACCATAGTGGATATTTACTGATCTGGGACAGAAAAAAGATCAAAAGCTTCCTTCAAAAGAATACAATGTATTATTTGCTTTTTGTTAGTATAGTATGATATTTACTGCAAAGTCTTTGCAAACAAAAGACTAAAACTGAGAATCTTATAAGAATGCAGTTGATTCTGGCTTATTTCCTTCAAAGACTAAACTAAAATCTACCACATACATTCCCTGTATTTTTTGACAAAAACAACCACCACCACTTTAAGACGGTTCCCTTTGGCAGTTGTGAGGGTATCACGAGCTTGAACTCAACAGTGAACATAACAATGAAAGGTTCTGTTCGGGTAAGGGCATCCCTCCTTAGATAATATCAAGTTATTTAAAGTCAATTCAGTTGCCATTTGCCAGATCACTAAACACTGCTAGCATATTTTAACTAGTTTTGCACTGAGAATATTTTCATAAAGTTTTAAAATTAGGATTTTTAGAGAAATAGAAAAAAATAACACTTTGATGTTACTCCAATTTAGCATTTATCAAAAAGCCTACAGAGAAAAGAGTAAAATCAACCAAGATAGGTTATTACAGTCCACGTGGTAGAACAATACTTAGTGAAAACAAAATGGTTAAATAAATTTGGTGATTTGACTTTTAGAACTAGAAATTTGTCAAATATTTCTAACATAAAACAAATATTTGTGTGCATCTTTATACAGTAAAATGTAGCAATATTTTATAATCATAGCACATTATTCTTAGTTTTGTATATTTAAAAAACAACAACACTTATTACAGAACTAAGGATGATGCAGAGCCCCCTGGAGAAGAAACAGTAGAAAGGACAAGAAAGCCAAGTCTTTCTGAAAAGAGGAATAATCCATCGAAATGGGATGTCTCTTCAATGTAAGTTGTCTACCTGCCAAATTCTATCACTTCAGTGGAATGGGGAAGGGCAAGGCAGGGTTAATAGTATTACCCCAGATTAAACTACTTTATTTAAAGACCTGTCAAACTGCTAAATTTAAGATGAATAACAAACTTCAAATGGTCTGCAGGGGTTATTGCTGAACCTGTGAATTACAACAGGCAGGAGCGTCCCGTGCAAGGAGCCTGGCCCTGCAGTCAGGAGGCCTAGCTCCACGCCCAGCTCTCCAATGAGCTGTGTGGCCTGGGCACGTTCACCCATTCCTGAGCACCTACTTCTTCATAGGTGACACCAGTACCTTTGTCCTTGTTCTGTGGTCACGATTACATAAATTACCACATGTAAAGTGTTTAGCACATTTTCAAAGACTTAAATGATGCTGTAAATAACCTTTTGGGGTGGGTGTCTCTAAAAGAAATAGAGTTTAGCCTTAACTGGTTTGGGTCAGTGGATAGAGCATCAGCCTGCAGACTCAAGGGTTCTAGGTTTGATTCTAGTCAAAAAAGAAATAGAGTTTAAATATCAGTACACCAAACAGCTAAGGTATGGTGAGAAATAAATGACCTGTTTATCTATACAAATGTTCATACACATATATTCTATTCTACTCAATAAGTAATATTTTTTGTTTCCACTGTAGGAACACACTGCCTTACCTGAATGAGGTGGTTGTATGTTCTTGTTAGGAGTTAAATGATGCCTGAATCACAGAATTTTCAGATTCTCACCATAATAACATGTTATTTTTTTAATTCTGACAATCATAAAAGGGGACAGATTGTGGCCCAAACCAAGACAACAGATCACATTATGTCGTTTATTACACAGCAGTGCTGGTCAATGACTTGACTGGTATTGTTGACAAAAGAAGTGTTTCTAATAATGGATTACTGTGATGACCAAATTCTGAATCTGTATTTTCCTTATAGCTATGACACAATAGCTTCCTGGGCAACAAATCTCAAGACCTCCATCAGAAAGGCTAATAAGGCCCTCTGGCTTTCCGTCGCGTTGATTGTACTGTTTGCAGCTTTGATAAGCTTCCTCACAGGCAGATTTTTCCAGAAGTCCGTGGATGCCGCCCCCACCCAGGATGGAGACTCCTGGATGTCTCTAGAACATATCTTGTGGCCATTTACCAAACTTCGACACAACGGGCCACCACCAGTGTGACCATAGGATGTCCTAATGTGTGTATCTTGATTTTTTTTAAAGTTTCAGTATCTGAATTTTGTAAATGAGTAACATTTAGCTGGGAGAGGAGGGCCTGGAACCAGAGGTTCTCAGAATGACTAAGATTTTTAAATTCCCTCTTTCTGTGATTACCTTTCCATGACCTTTTAATGAGCTTATTGAGGCGGATATATTATATATATTGTTAACTTTTGTTGAAATAAAGGATCGTTAAATCTCAGTGGGCCAGTGTTCATAGGAAAAGAACCCCACATGTTACAAAATAAAATTTGAGTGTAAAATGCTGATTAGATTACTTAAGAGTCTGTTTGAAATATAGTCACTTGCTACATTTTATTGAGGAAATAACCTGATTTTTTTTCTTCAAGTTGCTTGATTCTTCACGCTGAATAAAGTTTATCAGTAGAGATTAAGAATAGCTGAGTAGTCTAATACAGAGTAGCATGTGGCACACAGAGTCAATAAACTGGCTGTCAGGGCCCTTGGTTTTCTCCATTGCTTCTTGAGAAGCAAAATCCTTGATCATGTGAAAAAGAGTGGAATGAAACTCAGTTTCCTCTTTCAGGGCCTCAGAGAATGCCTCACTGTCTTCGTCAATCTTGAGCCTTTGTGCTCGGTTGCCACTAAACATTAAAAGAGTCCATGTAGGATCCTCAATACATTCCTGTTCTTTAGTGAGGCATTCACTCACCTAAAGACAGAAAATTAGAGAAATCTGTTAATCCGATGGAGTAGATTGGCAGGAGAGTATTAGTTGACGGGCTCAACTCAATCCCCAACATGTATTAATTGAATCAATAAATATTTATTGAGGGACTGTCATGTGCCAGACACTATTCTAGTTGCTGGGAATATAACAACAAACCAAACATTAATCAGTAACTAATGATTGTCCTCAAAGGGCTTAGGTTCTAGTGGGAGAAACACGGTAAGCAAGACAAATAAATACGGTGGCTAATTTATGCTCAAACATTAATCAGTCAGCTTTTATAATTTATCAGGTAAGTAGCAAATGTGCCAAAAAGTTAAATTGGAGAGTTCGTGAACCATTGATACATATTCGCATTAAAGGCTTTCATTTGTTCTGGAGTTACTATAAAGAGTTAAAAGGAGTCTAGTCTGAAATCAAGAGCATTTGGTACCATAATGGGCAATGCAGGTATGACCCTTCACATAGTTTAGCTTTATATTTTTGACAAAATTTTAAAAAATGGTTTTAAAACTGCATTGTGAGTGTCATTCCCCCAACCCCCTTTTCAAGAGGAGAAAAGTCTATATTCTTTTAGCTTTTGAGTACCTTTTCTTTTGGAGGACAAAGTAGTGTTATGGGTTTTTGCATACTCTACCTTAAATATGACTTTTTCAGAACCACACTGCATATTCCACTTGCTCCAACCGAACGCAAAAGCAGAACTTAGCAAGGCCATTTGTCGATAAGCTTTCATTTCCACCAAAGGAACCTGTCAATATAAAAGTCAATAGAATTGATCATAGAGCCTTCTCAACAAGTCTCCCTTCCATTCTTGGCCTCCTACGGCTTATTCTCAAAACAGAAAAAGCCATTAAAATGTAAGTCAGATTCTATGACTCCTCTCTCAAAATGGGGCAATGGCTTTCTCTTGCTCTCAAATAGAATCCAAAGTCCTAACAGTGATCTGTAAGGGTCTGCGTGATCTGACACCCTCCCACATACATCTCATTATCTGTTTGACCTATCTTTTCTTCTCCCTTTGCTAACTCCAAGCACCTGGCCTCCTTGCTGTACCTTCATTCCTCTAGGCCAGTGGTCAGCAAACCAAGGCTCGCGAGCCACATGCAGCTCTTTGGCCCCTTGAGTGTGGCTCTTCCACAAAATACCACGTGCGGGCACGCACATATAGTGCGATTGAAACTTCGTGGCCCATGCGCAGAAGTCGGTTTTCAGCCTGGACGAGTCTATTTTGAAGAAGTGGCATTAGAGGAAGTGGGGGGTGTCGGTCGGTCAGGCGTTGGGAGACACGGTGCAGGTGGGCTGCAGAATAGCAGCTGGGGGGAGGCACGTGGGATTCATGCACGAGTTGAGTGAGCCAGTCAGTCAGCAGTCTCATGTGCAGTGGTTAGTGCTAGTCACATCCGCAAATCGCGTGCGGATGACAAAAGTACCTACTCGAAGCATAAAGTTACCTGTATTTTTCCAACCAGCTGAAAATCCTACAGGTATTTTTGTCATCAATTTAAGAATTGTAATTATTTTGTGTTGGTGGCTTTATTATTATAAAATGAAACATTTTTTTCCCTTTATAATTGACATTGGCAACTTTGAAATGTAATTGCTGGATTTAAAAAACAAAGAGCTGTGGAGCTCGAAATTTGAACGTCTTTGTGCTGATATAGAAATATTGGAGAAAAACAAATGTGAACTTAGTTCACAGCACAAGTGGTCTGCTTTGAAAGACCTGGAGAAGGAAGATATGTTGATTTTTAACACCTGGAATAGTATTCCTGACTCATATTTTAATTTTATGGATATTGTAAGGTAAATTGTAAGGAATTTAATTTTATCAATAAATAATACCATTATTAAATATGATATCAAGTTTTATTCAATGTACCTATAGTTTAACTAAGACTTAAAACTTTAAGTAAAGTTTATTAACTTTAGGGAACACTGTGGAGTGAAAGAAGATGTAGTGTTGAGGATTGAGAAAGGTATGTTGAGATGGTTCGGACATATAGAGAGGACGAATGAAAGGAGATAGACGAAACAAGTATACAAGACAAGTGTGGATGGAAGAGTTGGAAGGGGTCGATCTCAGTGAACGTATCTCAATCAGATTGAGGACGTTTTTAGCAAAGGCCAGCTTAGGAGTGCCCTAATTAAGTTAATAACAATGTACCTACCTATATAGTTTAAGTTTAAAAACTTTGGCTCTCAAAAGAAATTTCAATTGTTGTGCTGTTGATATTTGGTTCTGTTGACTAATGAGTTTGCCGACCACTGCTCTAGGCCACTCAGCCTGGAAGCTGCTTTCTGAGATATCCACTTGGTTAAACTCCCCACCTTCCTGTTCTACTCAAATTTTTCCTTCTCCCTGAGCCCCCAATGTCCTATTTGATATTGTACACAGCCCTAACCCCAGTGCTCATGATCTACCTTTTCTTTTACCCACAGCACTTATCTACCTTTGACATGAAATCATTTTTTATGCTTATTGCTTATTTTTGTCTCCTTCTACTAGAATGTAAGCTCCACAAGGTCAGGAACTTTTTTTTTTTAATTCACTAATGTATCCTTAAGCGTCTAAAACATGCCTAGAGTACTAGAATATAGGTCAGTGGTTCTCAACCCCTTTGGTGGTCGAACGACCCTTTCACAGGGGTCGCCTAAGACCATCCTGCATATCAGATGTTTACATTACAAATCATAACAGTAGCAACATTACAGTTATGAAGTAGCAATGAAAATAATTTTATGGTTGGGTCACAACATGAGGAACTGTATTTAAAGGACCAGAAGGTTGAGAACCACTGATATAGGTGGTCAGAAAAAGAAATTTTTGAATATTCTAAATAAATGAAGACTACACTACATTCAGCATTTGCAGAGTAACTGGCAATTTGAGTTACTAAAACCAAGGCGGTTCTCCCCCT